ATTATTGCGAATTTAATTATGCTTAATCCATTCTGGAATAATCATTTAATTATTTAAGTTATTTAATTATCCGATTTATTGACCCAGCATAGCGTCCACAAAAAATTAAGTCAGTTTCTGCAGCTTCAGTCTCTCTTTGCCGAACGAGAGTAAAATTTCAGTTTTATGCACCGAAAAATCTGCCTTCTTGCCCGCTGGCTGAATTGCTTGTTGTTGCGTAGAAACTCTAATTTTAATTGTAAAGAAAAATTTTATAATTGTTTTAACTGTATGTAGTGTTTTATGTTTTTCTGTATCTTTCAAATTTTAATATAGATATTTTGAGTTTTTATGTATTTTTGCCTTATCGCGAAATGAAAACTGAATTAATTGAATGAGAAAATATATCTCTAATGAAATTTGAGGAAATAAGTTTAAATGAAATGCAGGAAGAAACGCGTATAATTTGATATTCCGTACAAGGAAGTCATGTGGTAAACACATCAGATTTTTTATTCATAGTTTTCCCCTCTGAAGGCTAGTTTATTGGTAAAATGTATCCCCTCTTGATTATTTCTATTTTTATTCCGCATATTCAATCTGTATTTGCATTTTTGTATTAGCATTTTATCCGTTTTCTTTCCCCTTTTATTTATTATTTGAAACGCATTTTGTGGAGATTCTTAGTTAAGATACCGAACATGGTTGGTGTTCTCAAACTTAAAAAAAAATCTTCAAATATGTAATTTTACCTTACTTCTATTATTTATGTTCCAGCTCATTGTAGGCTTATCTGTTGCTGATGTGTCTGAATCCCGTCTTTCTTTTGTCTGTTTCGTCCCTCCGATATTCCTCTTGATAACGGCGGTTAAGACTCATTCATGTGAAGCGTATCTGGGGCTATACAAGGGAACTCTGCTCATTTATCCTCAGATATCGACTCAATATCCATCAGATATTGTTATATTAATATTACCATATATTACTATACATTTCAATGTAACTTTTTTGTGAAGAAATAATATTGTAATAATTACCAGTAGTTTATCCATGACTGCTTTTCATTTGTTTCATTGTAACTGCATTCTTCGGAAATTAAATTAGTCGCTTAATTTTTCCTTCTATGCATTCGGACGATAAGATTAGTTTAAAAAAAAGGTTAAATACTCTAGTAGTTACATATATATAAGAAACTTTAACGAAACAGATAGATAAATACGTCAAAAGAGGTGAAAATACTACGTAATAAAGATAGGCGCGGATATATCAATATGAAATCAATATGAAAAAGCTTTTTACCTTAAAACGCTTCCTAGTTATTTTTCCTGTTTCGCAAAAAATGCTGCATTGTTCATTACAGCAGAGTTTGCTTATTATAGAACTGCCCTTTTTTAAAAAAAAATTGCGATTGTTAGCCAATATAGAGTTCGTAAACAAAAAGCGTATGTTTCATCCACTTTATGATCGATCACGTCTTTTATGATCGTAGAAGATGAGTTTGGCTAAATGTTAGGAGTGCTGCTTTTAGCACATAATTTTCTCATCAGACTAGATAATGTTGTTCGGTAAAGAATTCTTGGAAAGTATTTGGTTCTCTGAGTCTATAATTTGTTACGAAACGTCTAATGTTTAATGATTTTATCCTAGCGGTCTATTAATGGAAGCTGAGTTAAAGTCTTTTATCGGTATTGAATGGGTTTCTCACGTAGCAGCGATTCCTTTCATTAATGACAGGGGCAGTTAAAGCGATTAGAGCTTCTGATCAATAGTTGGGCAAACTCTTCCGATAGATTAACAAGTTATTCTGAACTGAGCGAATAACTCAGAATTTCTTGACACCATTTGTGTACAATCAATATCAATTAAAGCTTAACAAAATATATTCTGTGAATAGGCAAATTAATAATCCCTGCTTAGGGTACGTATTCTGATTAGCTATTCATGTTATACGCGATCTGCTGCTTTTTTATTAAATTACTTATTTATTTTTCAGGTGGTATCACTAAAATTGATTGTTGTTTTAATGATTTCATTTTCCCGCTATTTTATCGCACATTCGAATATGAATGCTAATTAATTTTTATTTTATGAAACTATTATTTTTTAATTATAAAAACCATTGAAATTTACACTCTGTTAACTGTTTTTCGCTCCCATCAACAGAGTGATCTGTTTTCGCATAATTACATCAGAAAATTACGCAGACTCGCCATCGAGCAGTGTCGGCATTGCTCACATTAAATATCATACGGATTATTTAACACATTACTGTTATTCTCCCCATTTACACAGCAATAAGTTTTCACTTAGAAAAATCAAAGAATTGCACAAACTCGGCAACGCGCACTGTCTTGCCAATGCGCACATTAAGCATTACATATATTTTATGCGTTATGGTTTTTGCTCCATGCACACAACCATTTGTTTTCGCTTAATAAATCAGAAACTTGCACAAACTCGTCATTGCGCACATTCTGCCATTTTATACCTTAAACATTATATTGATTACATGATATTTTAGAGTTATTACATTAATTCCAGTAATAAAAAAATTTTAAAGTTGCCAGTATAAAATCTTACTAAATAACGAAAAGGTAGTTACTAGGAAACATCATTATCTAATACGGAAATTGGTAAATTTGGAGTGCGCCTTATTCTTCGCATAGCCAGTTTAAATTTCAGTAATGTCACAATTCAGTAACTATACATTCATTAAAAAAAAACTTCAAGAGCTGTCATATTCGATAGTGCGAGCAAAAAGATGATAAATAAATAAAAGCAATAGATCGCCTATTATATGATTATCGGTATTTTGTTATCCGTGTCATGATTATTCGGTCCAAGTTCTTTTCTGGAAGAAGCTTGAATGTTTCTCTCTACTGCGTGGGGCACGTGCACAACTGAAGAACTCAAAATCCTTTCGAGAAGTTTGGTGGTAGAGAAAATAGGTGAGAAACCTTGGATTAGTCCCCTTCCGGTGTAGCTTCCTTTTCTCGGGGCTATAATATCGCTCCTCCGCTGTACGAATCAAAAATTCGTTTTCGATAACCAAACAACTAAATTATCGGTGAGTTCGGCCTTTCCTGCTGAATGCTTTCTTTCTTTATTTTATTTATTAAGTGCTCCGGCATTGGGCACTAGACGGAAAGGGAGAGATGCTCCATGGAGAACTTTTTAAGGCAACCTGGCTCGCATTCACGTTGCACAAGGGAAAATTCATAAGAATGCCCATGCAGCCAGCCAGTTCGCCTGGATTAGAGCACTGAATGGAACTATCTTAAATAAATGGAGTAAAATATTCACCTATTGAAAAATGTGAGAGATATAAATGTAAAACACAGAACGTAATTCTTATGCAACCTTGCACACTCGCAAAAATTTTACATTTGAAGTTATATTTCTACAAAGCAGATAAAGCCAATAGTATCCAGGGATTCGAAAGTTCTGCAGGAGATTTCGTACTAATTCTTTTCAGTATGCAGGGATTATACCGGGATACTGAATACTGAGTATCCACGGTATCCAGGGATCCCTGGATATCCAGGGATTATACCAGGATACTAAATTTTGAGTATCCAGGGTATCCAGGGATTATACTGGATACTCAGTATTCAGTATCCAGGGATTTCTTTTCGTATCCAGGGATACGAAAGTTCTGCAGGAAATTTCGTACTAATCCTTTTTCAGAAAATATTTACCTGGAACATTTTATGAAGTTCACATGAGATAACAATAACTTAAAAATGAAGCACTGTTTAAAAATTATTATAAATGTGTAGACAGAATAGTAAAGGCGTGTTTTTGTTTAATTTCTATGGGCAATTTTAAAAAAATTACAGTTATGCGATTCGAAATTTCAATATTTAAACCGAATTAACATCGTAAGATTTAAATCACATTTTTAACTTTTCTATAAGCACTAAGTTTCTTGAAGCATAAATTTTAAAACCATCATTTTTCTATTTTGTGTATTATTCTCGAATTCATAATTTCTGCTCTAAAACAGAAAGAATTAATAACATTAAAGGAATTTTTATCATTGTATCAATGATTTCATAGGCACAATCACTAACAGCTTTCGGTGATGGAATGACCAAATTACCGATGGTTTCGGCCTAACCATCTGAATGCTTTCTTTTATTTATTATATATTCAGGCATTACAATAATCTCATAGGCACATTAACATCAAAACCACAAACACTTATATACTATTATCTAAAAAATTAACTTTTTATTATTGGATTTTCTGTTTTGAGGTAAGGAGATATAAAAGTGTATTTCCTTTTTTTTACGACAGTTAATTGCAGAAATATTAATACTTATTAATCTGTAGTCGCAACCTGCTTCTTTACAACGTTTGTAATATTTCTGAGGTTGAAAGCAGTCATCTATGACGAAATTCAAAAAGTAACAACACGGTCAAAATTCTCGAAACATTTTATATGTGATAATGCTCGTCGGATAAATTTGAAAATAGATCATTTGTTTTCAATACCTTATTAGTAAAGTCATTGTGTTGAATATATTCTGCTAAGGCCGAAGACCAGTTGGAAGACCAGTTTGATCCAGTTTGGTGTTATATAATATACCGCAAAACAGAGTTCAATTCGAAATTGTGTACTGTCATTCAAGCAAAAAGTATTTAGATTATAGAAGTTAAAAATGTTTTGGTGTAATTGATTGTTTTTAGAATTAAAATTAGGAATTTATTTCTGTAAACTTTTATTATATATATTAGCTATTTTTAAATAATTACAAAAAAGTAGGTATTACATTGATAAATTATTTATATAAATTGATAACAACCAAGTTTTAGAGGACGTAGTGTTAGACTTAGGAAAGGAAAGAAATGAATTGCTTTAAAGTGTTTGCCAAATATTTAATGTAATTTGTGACAATTTTACAACAAACAAAATTATAACATCATTAAGGTCTCCTTTTAATTATATATAACTTATACTGTTTTAAAACTTCCATAAATTTTCTTCAAGTTTGATAAATAAACACTTTCCTTTTCAGATTTGTGCCATTACTTTAATCCTCATATTTGCAGTTTGTGCCAACGCCGATTACATTGTCAACGGCATCGGGGGAGATGAAATCGCAGGGTATATCTTCTCCCCCGTGACGGGACTATCAAAAGTGCACCTCTTCCGAAAATTTCATCAGAAAGCACTTGTTCATCATCCTTTCATTATTCCTCCAGCGTATCGTAAACTTCCTCCAATAGGCGAGAATTATTTTGAAATTGATGATGACGAAGATGGTAATGTTTTATAATTATTGTATGATAATTATTCAATATTGAATGTATTGATTCTACTTGCCCCAGTAGCACGTGTTTTCCTATATAATGTGATGTGGAATTTTTAATGATGTTTTATAAGAAAAAGAATTATGGGTTCCTTGTAAGACAATATATTTGCTCCTGTGTTGAAGATGTTCATCAAGAAAATATTTAAGTGGTCTAAGTATCGCCCTTTGAAGCAAAACTAGTAAATATGTTTTCCTTTACCGTCACAGTAAGGGAACAAATAATAGTTAATATGATTTGTAAATTTTAGGTTGCAGTCGCAATTTTTCTTCCAGATTGAAAGTACAGGGTCTGTTCAGAAAGTAATGAGACCGATTCCATCAAATTCGTTTATTTCAAGCTAACTTTGTATAAACTTAATATTCTTCAAAATAGCCTCCTCCTGCATTAGTGCAACGTTGCCAATAACTCTTCAACCCACTGATGATCTCTTGGAAGTCTTCAACTGGAATGCTTTTCAGAATGCGCGTTAAGTTCTCCAGATTATCAAAAGATCGAACTTGAGAGTTCGATGGATTTTAACTGGATTTTAACTGAACTGGATTTTATTTTAGCTGGATTTTAACCGAGGGGAAAAAATCTGGCGGTGACAGATCTGAGCTGTGTGGTGGATGTGGCAGCGTTGCGACTTTGTGTTTTTCCAGGAAATGAATCACATTAAAGTATGTGATGCAGAATCCAATTGTTTGTGAGCTCCGTGTAGTCGCTCATGATTCGATTCCTCAGTTTTGAAGCACTTCCTTGTAAACCTCTACATCAACTTCCGTCCGGGTAGCACGAACACTTCGTGCACTATTCCCTTGATATCACAAAAGGTAATGAGCATGGATTTCAGTTTTTATTTGCTCACTCTGGAGCGTGTGCCTCTCTGCATTTTGTCTCTTTGTTTCGGTTATTGCTGATAGCCTACCACCCCTAACGCCCGCAAATATCGCCCTTTTGTCCTTCTTCTTGATGCGAAAAATTCACTCTCATTACTTTCTGGACAGGCGTATAATGTAATTCAAAGCCTCGAAAACTCTAAAACAAAATGTTCCCACCTTTATTCATTCTTTGAATCATTTGTGTTAAAGGTACAGTGTTAACTTGCAAGATTCCGAAGTTACAACAACAGTAAATGAAAGGAATACTTTTTTATAGAAGTTACTAAAAATGACTACCGTGTTTTTCAATGAAACACAAATTCACTCAACGGAGTATGGTTCTCACCATGCCGTGCAAACTCTCATTAGGATGCCATAGATGCCTATTCTCGATGTTATTTCATAGATCTTTCAGCTTCTAACATAACAGCAAATTTCTGCTTTCGCATGAGATTGCATGAGATTCTTTTCTTTCCTGGAATTCGCAGGAGCACTTCTTCTAAGAAGTTTATCCTAGAAAAACCACTCCGAATGATTTCCATTGCTAAAATGAATAGTATTTAGAATGAACAGTTCTGAAACTTCTAAGTCACTCTGTGTATTAGATGTGTTTTTATACCTACCAATACGATGCTGTCTAAGCGATATTTCATTAATTTTTAGAGAAATGAGAAGTAGAGTAAACAAGTCAGACATATTAAATAGTATTTATTAAGTACTTAAAAGAATGTTTATTAATTTAGAATTTAAAACTAATAGTTGACAATTCTGCTTGGTATAAGAATACTTAGCTAGCATATTTGGAATTAATTTGTTGTAAAACATAAATTTTATTGTTTTCTCTTATGGAAAATAATCTAAATCTGGGGATTCTGAACTCTCTCTAGCACTGAGCCCTTTTAAGGGAGAATTTCCTTCAAAGAACGCCTTACATTTTTGTCTGCATGCTATCCAGCATATAACATAATCATAATACAAATATTCCCACAAAAATAACAGACTAAAGATATGAAAACAATATTTAGAAAAAATTATTTATTATTTTTGTGTTATTATTATTTTTAATATTACAAGCAAGCTTTCAGACACAAAAATCACAGATTCTTTGCAGAGAAATTCACTTTTAATGAATGTGATGACGGCCTTTGATGTAGTGATGCAAATTTGTTAACATTTGGTATGAAAATGGTTAACTGAAACTTTAAATCACCTCATTCAAAAATATTCGATTTTTTTTCCAAGTAAATTATTGATTTGACTAAAGTCTGTATCTGCTAGGTAAGATGGGGTCAATAATGTTGGTTTGGCAACAATTTTTATTTTGAGATATTTCTTTAAGATAACTTTCTTTTAACTTTTAACTTTCTCTAAACTAAGTGTAACCCGTGTAGTTTGAATAGGACTTATACGCATATGTAAACATCCTCCTTCAATGCAATCAACTTTCTTGGATCATAATATTAATTTTTAACTATGTGTTTTTGCGTTTCTGCCTTTAATTCTTTTTTTTTCCTTAAAACATTTGCATTAAAATTTTTATTTCTTAAAATATATTATTAATATTTAAATATATTGAGCAATTTTTGTGTAGTTTTCCTCTTATATTTGTTTTATATAATTTCTTCCTTCCTTTAATAAAAAGTTAACTACCAACTTTATTAATAATTTTTGGTAATAAGTTTAGATTGAGCTCATGTATTTGCTGGTGCATATTTCGCTATTGACTCCAGTCGACCCCTATAAGTAATTTTTGTGTATTTTTCCTCTTATATTTAATTTATATAATTTCCAAATTTTTGGTAATAAGTTTTCATTGCACTTATCAATTACTGATGCGTATTCAGCTATCGACGCCTATTCGATCCCTTGATCATCATTCACCCTCTTTATGATTTCATTGACCCCCAGGAATCAATACAAATTCCGTTGGGATTTGGTATATTTTCACGGTATACTTACGGTCCAGTTGAGATAATATATAATGAAATTAAAGCCTCAAATGAATGCGAAACATATCTAGAAATGAATGAACGCACTCGTTTATGCATAATAATCAACGTCGTTATGATGATGACATGTTTATCAACCTATAGTTCATTAATGGCTTAACTGTATAATGCTAAAATCTAATGCATGATATTTAATCCTCTTATTACAGAAATTTAATGTATTTTTTGATTCTAAAGGCTTGATGGATACAATTAGTCTTTTAACAATTTACTGACTATTGAATGCACTAAAATTATTTTAATAGAAACTATATGTATCTATTTTTACAACTTCTTCGTTTGTAAGAATTTTATGTTAATTAACCAGTTATTATGATTTGAAACCTTTATTATAACTTCTTCTTTCCGTAATTCGCACCAGAGTGCAAATTTGTTGCTAAGTATTTAAGCCGAAAGTTTGGATGTTTTAGAGTTAGAGCTTTTGACAACCTCGCTTTCAGTTTACGTTCCGCAGTTTTGTTCCGGCTTTAGCCATTTTGCTGCCCGATGTTTAAAGCGCGCCGTTAAATAACTGAGCCAGCTTAAGTAGACCATTTTGTGTAGTCTAATGGTAAATATTCAAATTAAATTAATTAATGTTTAAATTCAAGTATCGTAGTCGCATACTACAATACTTGAGTTTAAATTTCAATTTACGTTATTACAATTGCCCACGAGTGGTGCAGTTTTGTTTCGTAAGCATAAGCGATGCCTTCATTTAAATTTAAATAATTAGTATAAAAACTTGTTTAACCTTCGCAGGACTTTGTCATTTTAGTTCAGACTAGGGAGATTAGAGTTCTTCACCATAGCGAGGTTCTCAAACACTTTTGATATTTAGTTTAACTTGCAAAAATTTTCAACTAATGTTCTTTAAACTTTGCAACTCTTCTATCTTTAGAAAACGGTATTTCTGCAGAAACAATTATAGCAAAATCAAAAATTCACTATAATGCCACTTTCTAACTTCGTAACTGACAAAATGGTTCCTAACTGGACATACCCATGAAATATAATATTTAATTACCTTAAAATTCGCATGCCAAAGAAACACATTTAGTGTTATCGAATTGTGAAGGATATTTTTTCAACTAACTTTAGTTAAAATAACACAAGAAAAAGAACATACCAAAACGTAAATTCCGCCCACCAACCCGGCTCTTGTGTATCTTGATTTTTGAGGGAGATCTGAATTTCAATCAGAGGCGCAAGTAAACTGAGCTGTTGCCTATTATTGTAGAACTGATTCTCAATATATCCAGAAAATTTATTATTATCCTATTATTGTAGAACTGATTCTCAGTATAGCCAGAAAATGTATTATTATTCTGAATTTAATTTATTAATATTTTATTTACTTCTTTACATTCATTTAATTTCTTAATTGGTCATTATTTATCTTTTAGTTCCTATTATTGGATTTTGTTCCTTTTCTAAAAATCTGGCATTTTTAATTCTAGAATTTAATCCCTGGAATTTTTTTTTTTTTTTTTTTTTCGTTAGTACCATGATCTTCAGGAAACAGTTTTCACCTTCAAACACTCTCATAATTCGCTTTAGTAGGATTATCTTTATAAGGATAATTGATCTTGCGGTATTTTATTGAGACAGTATGAAAAATGCATTTAAATAGCAGTTTAGCAGTTACATTTCCCTAGTAAAGTCATTTTCAACATTTCTTGCTGCTATGAATCCCCTTTAACCACTTAGAGATCATTCCTCTACCTCTTCTTTCCCAAACTGAAAATATTACTACATTATTTAGCTCTATATTTTTAAAACAAAAAAAAAAATTAAAAAATCAATTGTAAAAATCAAAGCGCCTTTTTCTCTTTCAGATGGAATTTATTGACCATGTGCTGCCATCTACTGAAACGTAAAAGAACTAAAGAACTTCGCGAATGCCGCCTTTGACAGTTCATTTGCAAAGTTAGATAATTTTTAAAATGAACGGAATGAAATGAGGCTAAAATGAAACTGAACTCTCTGTGTAATTAAGTTATTGTTTAAATCTATTTATTATGTATTTGTTATTTATTTAAATGTATCAATAAAATGTAGCCAAATTAAAATATAGGTGCTTACTTATTTGATTGCATTTACATTTACAGTTCAAATAAATCTAGACTTTTATGGGACTAATTTTTTAGATCCATGTAACAAAAATAAAAAATCTTAAATTTAAAATCTTTTTGTGAATCAAAAGTATATGTTTCATTAGTGATTGAAATTTAAGTAATAAATACAGGGTAGGGTACGAACTGCGCCTATTTTGATCGAAGATTCCCGTCCCCCTCTTTTCTAATCCACGAACTGCGCGACGTTTCTTGTTCCCTATTTCTTTCCCAAGAAGATTGGGTGTTAGTATGAGTTTTCGCCATTTATCGCCATTAATGGAACATTCTATTGAGATTTCAAGCCCTTGTTTTCGTTTATCAATATTGTAAAAATTGTGCATGCAAAACAAATATTAATTTAAAGACTGGCGTTATATCAGTTTTGAATAGTAAAATTGATAGATTAATCACATACACACAAACTGATACATAATCAACCTATCAAATATCGGATTTGTGCTCACCTTAAATAAGTTTCTTGTCTAGATAATATTAACATCTCTTAGATAGCAAAGGTTTTAACTTTCAATTTACCTAAAAGGTAACAGTTCTAATTTAAATTAAAAAGTTCTTTATTAAATCTAAAAATTGGACTTCTTAAGTCGTTCTAAACTCATACTAAGTACTGAAATATATCCCATATTAAACTTCCATTTTTAAGTTTGATGGTTATTTTAAGGTTATTTAACTTGTTACAAATTCCCATTTTAATACTAGAAACTTTTAAATATTTATTTGTTTTCCCCCTGATGACTTTGGAATACATTTAATTTCTAATACACATTTAATTATAATAATAATTATGAGCATCTACAGAATTTCATAATTAACAAAAAAAACGAACTCCCTTAATTCATATCCTGGGATTTTCAGTTCCTTTTATCCCTTCCTTTTTCACATTGTTGCACTGTACTCAAGTTTTCATGTATGTAGATTTATACTTTGTATGTATTATGCCAATTTATATTTAAATGATAATTTTTACAAATTCTTGCATCACAACTCTAGTTAACAGAAGAGTTTCTAACACTTGGCAAAAGCTAATCTTCAGAGGTAGCTTATTTTCTAACCTAGTTTCAAGTTGAATTATTTGTAAAATTAATACTTGAAATTATTTGTTAACAAGATGTCGCTAATCACGCTAATAATATTCTAACTGTTGAATTTATAATGCAACGAGTTCATGTGATTTATATAATTCATTTATAATTTTTTTCAGCAGTACGAAATTAATAACAGATACTGATATGTTTTACATTAGATTACAATGATTTAGATTCCATTGCCGTCTTCATTGATGCTTCAATGCTACATTCCTAATATTTCATAATGGCATACAAAGAAGTTTAAATCATTTACCAAACATGTAAACCTATAATTCAGCCCACTTTTGTTCTTACATGTGCTGTATCGTTTTTGTTTTTTCTTTAATATAGTGTTCAGCCTAATTTCAAAAGGTCAAGCAGAAAAAATGATCAAGCAGAAGAGTCACTAAACATTGGTAGTTCGACCCGAGTTTCTAGTCCCAGTGAAGTTTATATGGATATCAATAAATTAAGGATTATTTCTCCATCTAATTTTCTTAACATGTTTATTCCAGAATTTTCTTTCCACACTGTAGCACTTGACTTTATGAGTTTTCTATAATCATTCAATTTCTCTAGCCATAGCAACTTTTCATACCTTCTGACAAGTAGTTATATTAACCACCGTATTTTTAATTCTGTTGACATCAGTACATTATTCAATTTTCATAAGTGCAACTTATATTTATACGCAAATCTAATACGTAAAATAGCATTAAAACTTCAGTTATGCGGAGCTCCTGATCGATTGCTTGTTTTAGATTGAATGAAATTAAGCTTAATGTTATTGTTAATTAGCTTGTTATTAATTTAATTATACATTTCTAATTAATTATATGTTCTGATATTTCCCAGTATATTACTCAAACTTTTGCAGCCCAGTTTTTAATTTTTGGTTAAAAAATAAACTTTTATTTATTGAGAGGCCTGATTGATTATACTAATTAAAAGTATTGTTTATCTAATTCCTTTCTTCTAGATAAATTTTAGAAAAAACTACTTAGCATAATAATTTAAATTTATTTACAATTTATACGTCAGTGTTCTAAATGAATAGTAATGTTGTTATAATAGATTTCATGATAACCTTTTTTTAAATTTAACTAAATTTAATTTCTGCAAACATTTACATGATTACTTTAATTAACAAAAGATATTTTTAGCACACTTTGATATGGAATAATTTTTTGCACGCTTGTGAACTGTATTAAATTTTCCGGTCTAGTTCAGAGATGTTGACTATTATTGATGTAATTTATTAAAAATATAATTTGTATGCTTTATAATTATTTAATTTATGATATTATTATAATAAATGAAAGATGTTTGTAATGCTAATATGTATGTTTACCAATACCTTTTATTTTCTTTGTTAGCTTTCGCATTTATTACTGTTATTCAAATAATTAACCTGATTGTTAGATATTTTTTACTTGTTCTTGTGATATGTAATTCTATTTATTTATTTTTATTTTCCTCTTGGCTACAATTGGCTTCGAAAAGTTAAATTGTAACCCTGTAGGCAGCAGGGGGAAGAAATTTTTATTGGCGCACTTGGACTACAGCTCGAACCGGGGGAGGGTTCATTAGCGCAGTTGGAAGTACACCCAATTACAGTAAGGTTTCTTACTATATTGCAGTCTGCTTCACAACACAATTTTACTACTCCTATTAGAAAATTGTCATTATTTTAGAAATCGATGAAATATAACAATATTAAGTGTAAATTTATAGAAAATAATAAGCAAGGATTACTCTGTGATCACTGTATTTTTTTATATTTTCGAGAAATAAAGAGTAATTTCCTACTTCATTTTTTGCTTCTTAGCTGGCTAGTTGATACTGTCTACACACTCAGACATTATAACAAAATGTATAGATAAATACAGAAACAGACCAACGCATTAGTAGACAAAATTTTATAACAGTTTTTTTCTTTAAATATATTACTAAAAGCACTTCAATCAATGATGACGTGATTATTTTTCAGCCAATAAATGACAGATAGTCTTTAAGCATTCTCCAAGAAAGGCCGAATCCATTGGTCATTTCATTGTATTATAGGGGATGACTGATATACACGCGCGAAGAGGTGGATTACACAATTACACACAAGCCTCAGCGGGAGTCGAACACACATCGTTAGCAGCTAGACTTCAGTCTACCGTCTAATCATTCTACCGTATTCAGCGTCAATCAGGTAACATTGAAATTTATATCGTAAATGTTGCACTACAGATACCATTATATTGAATACACAAACAATCAAACAAAATTTTCACACTCTCAACTTTCTCTCTATATATATTGTAATCACTAGCGTAATTTTCCTTCTCCCATTTTTTTTTTTTTAATAATTTTATCGTCTGGTAATTGAGAGAAGAAATTATGCTATTTATTTCCGAAGGAATGGGTACACTAGAAACATAGAAAATAAAATGTAATCATAGATAAACTACAGAGCACTATCATAATATTATTTCCTTAGAGAAGCCTATCTTCCATTAAGAATGCATAGTAATATTAACATGATAGCATCTAATAACTTCAAAATCGTAAAAACAACCTTGTATTTAGCGTAAGTATATTCAAACACTCAATCGATTTCGAAGGCAACTAAAGGTCCCTCCTCATCAGAAGAAAGAAATACCTGGAAAGAAGAAAATAAGGGGGAAGGAGTCTCAGAAACACGTGGTTATTTAATCAGAGTTGCACTGGCCGCCTACTTTTACTGAGCCAGGCTATCTGATCAAGTATAAAGGACAAGAAAAATTAACGAAGTTAAAAATAGGGAGCGAGGGGTAAATGCACGTTCAAGCCCAAAATCTGAACTTCAAATAATGAAAAGCAACCACTGAACGGATTTTTATACCCTCTGGTAGTACCAAACGCGAGGAGGTACCGCCTTCTGTCGGCAAAAATAACTGAATTAAGATAGGATTTTAAAGGCATTAGGAAGGACTGGATTGTCCATTTCGAAACAATATGCTAGTACGCGTATCTCTAAACAGACAACTTGCATATCTGTAGGATATCTGCTCGTACTTTCATTTATTTATAGATATTCCTTTTCATCCTAAGTGGTATTAACACATGTTTGTGATATGTTTTATGTTCAGAGTGATTCCTTCATTATTATTAGATAAAACTGCTGAAGTAAATAGATGATGGTCATAACTTGGCCAACTTGTCTTCAAGATAAATATTATAAGCCATACGCGTTGGCGATACCGAAAATAAAGGTAGAAAAACGTTCCCAGTTAAAGTATATGTTTCGAAAAATGTTATCATATAAATACCGGAATTTCAGTATACAACAAGATTATGATTGTGTGATGAAAACCAGTGTTAAATGTTTGGCATATATTTTTCTATTTTTTCAGACTTTTCTCAGTTTATATCAATGTACAATTTTCTTAGTAAAATGCCTTGCAAAATATTATTCGTCTTTTTATTATTAACGTTTTATGAGTTAAATTTGTAATTAAATATCATGTTCTTTGCTCATTCGCCACAAAAATTTCAGTTGAATATCAAAATCAAAAAATAGTTAAAAACAGCATATTTTTAGAATTTCCGATATACAGTCTTGCGAACTGGAGATTACAATGTTTTTACTCCGTGCAGTGTTGCCACTGCTCTTTCAAATCGTTGAGTTTGTTGAAAATTCATTAAAGATTCACAAAATATGAAACATAAAATTCGAAAATTCACACTTCCTGGATGCATATGTTCGGCTATTTGATGGCTTTTAGGTACCGTCGTTTTTTCTCACAATGCAAGAAATGTACATACGTTCATGCAGATTCTTCATTATTAAATTTCTTTAAAAGTAATACAGAACGATAATATTTCGTGGCAACAGTTTGAAAAGTGATTCAGACATTTAAAGTGATACGCCGCAAAATTCCGTTTCGAGACTAATATCTCATTCAAGCTAACGCCCTTTTGGTCTTAAATAAAAATTGTGTGAGGAGAAGTAAATCAAAAAACACATTGGTAACCTGCGATGCTCAGCGATAGGATAAAAAAAACCTTAACAAATCCTCTAGCACGACATTAATGTCTGAATCATTTTCAGATTTTCTCTCGTTCTTTTTCTTCCCCCCTTCCCTTTTTTTTTTAATAAAACAGTGCAAAGCACGCAATAGCCTCCCCAACGAATAGATCCCAACAACTCAACACACTGCCTCTAACATAACCAACCAGCATTTCATAATAACATAGATCAGAGCACACGTTGGCAGCAAGGGCAATGACGAAGTGGATTCCCTAGTAAAAGAAGCAGCTAAATGTATGAATGTAACGAAATTAACCGTTCCATGGCCAAGCTCCCACCTCAAGATGCAACTCAAAAGTACATTTCAAAAAGCATGCCATCACTGGTGGTATTCCACCGAACAGGGCAGGAGCACATACGACCTATATCCAAGAATAAACTCCACCTCAAACATCGTCAGTAGATAAATAACATGGCTAATTGTAAGCCACAGTCATTTCCCCACATATTTCTACAAGAAAAAATCCCCCACATTCAGATCTATGCACATGTGGGGAGAGAGGTGACTCAGATCATTACCTATTCACATGCATCATAACAACAAGTCTACACCTCAGACGACCAAGACTAGAACAAGATGTGATTCCATACGTCAAGTACGCAATCACTAATAGCGTTATGAGGAAGCGCATAACCTAAATAATGGATATTCTGGCATCAATGGATATAGAATTCTGCAACACACATCTCACCCAAATCATTATGCAAACAGCAGCATTTCGGCACCAGAACGATACTGTGGGCCCCAAGAAGGCGTTGCAACTCTAGATAGCTTGTGTAAGGGGCCTATACCTACTTACTCAGGGTAAATAATATATGTCCCCTGCACTTACACCTAGCCTATATAAAACAGTAAACCTAACTGCGTTTTATAAGTAAATTTGATTAATAGCGAGATCCTCCACTTAAAATCATTTCAACCCGTTTATGTAAAGCTGCCCTGAAGTGTTCTTTTTCTGAATTGGAAAACGATGAAACTTTGACATGTATTTCAATGGTATTTAGTTTATATTTTAACTTGGTAGAATTTAAGAAAAATAAATAAATAAATAAGAAATACAAAATTAAATCTCTCAATTAAGCCTTGAGATTTAATTAGAAAATTGTCGTATTTCAATATAAATTCACGTGGAGCAGGTTTGACGCTTTATACGGTAGTGAGTGTAAAGCAGGCAAGTAAAAATTTGTGTTTCTCTATTACAAACGTCTATCGAATGAAGCTTTTCTATTCCTACAATTTACTACAATTATTCAGTTGGCCAGGCTGAATGTACTAGGGATTGGCAAAACCGATCTTTTATAGGATGAGATCAAAACCGTCTGTTCACTGAACTGTTCTTTTTATGAGTCACCGCTTACTAATAATAACCTTGATGAAAAACATTAGTAACGAGGAGTGAATAAAGAGTGGTTAACGGGGATGCAACATAGAGAGGGAAGAATTGAACGATCAGTGGGATTGGAAGAAGGGCTCATTGAAACTCTAACTCCCCGAACTAATTTCTTCGAACTGTAGTTTTGAGATTCCCTAAAACTTCCTTGACTAAACGTCTAAGAACAAACAATAAAATTCCCTAAATTAAAAAATGTTCAAAAAGTTTAGAAATGATGAGAAATAAACTCACTTTTAACATGGGAGAATAAATATTCTTTTCTCCCTTAAAATGGGAATCAAACTTTCCTGGCACAATTCCAACAAGAACTTTCGGTGAGTAAACTAAAAGAGCTATTTTTTCCCCACAGATCAGGTGTTCGCTGGCTCAGTAAAGTGAATAAGTTTGTAAATGAATACCGTATTTGTATTCTTAGTACGCTTCCAACAACAGCTCTCCGTGAACTGTAAACTGTGAACTGTGAGCTGTAAAAGAACTACCTCTCCGTTTTCTATAGTCAACCGTTTATTCGTTCTTTGAATCAGTTCAATAGCGAATTTTCGAGCTCAAGAATGTACGAATTTCATGGTTTCAATATGAAACGTGGACACAACCTTATTTCTCTTAATAAAGTCTCTTCATGAAAGTCATTACTGTTCCTGATTTTCATTATTAATTTAAACAACTGAAAGAACATGTTACCCAAAGAATGGAGCCCAAGAAACAAATAAAACTCTTCTATCATCAACATATTTATATAATTATTATTTTACAATCATTTTATTGATATAGTATTTGTTACTGATGAATATAATGTGCAAATGAAACTGTCAGTAATTTATATTCAGGTCTGCTTACAACAATTATTATTTTTTCTGTTCAAATAACGCTAATCAAAATATTAGAATGTATTTACTAACTCTCACAAGTGAAAATATATTTGAATCACACAAAAGTCTCTGAAATTTATAATAGGCTATTCAAAATAAAACAAATACAGTTAAAGTGTGGCAAAAGAAAATTTTATCTTTATTTTTATTGGCAGAATTTCAATTCAAAAAACTCTAAAGACGGACAGCTTTAAAGAATAAAGCATAAGAATGTTTTAAAATATATTTTATCCATTTATATTACATTCTCTTGAACAAATGATTTTTAATACATTCAGTAAATTTTTACATGTATAAAATTTTAGAAAAGCAGATATTTTAAAAGACGTTTTGCTTTTTGATTTGATAATCAATGAGTAATTTCAAAAATAAAACGGCAATTGCTTATTCAATAGAAAATCTCTAAAATTCCTACTGAAAAGCTTAGTCTAGGTCCTCACTTGATTACAACTGAATTGTTTTAATTCAACTAAGAGCTTAAACTTCCTAATAAAATGTTCCCTAAGCTATATATTGCAAATCTTAACGGCAGTTATGTATATTATATATTAAAATTTGGTACTCATAATCTAATGAATTTTGGGAATACAAAATTTTCTAAAATTTTGATACATTGAGAAGTATCTGAAGTCGCGAAAAGTAATACTCCTCTCGCTATTCCTTATTGTTTAAATGCAAATTTAATGTATAATTACAATTTGAATTCAAATGTTATGGAGTGCAGAATCTATTGGCAGTGCAGAACTAGAAATAAACCTCAGAAGCAATAAATGCACAAGGAAAACTATAATTACGTGAGTTTTCTTTTAAAACACATTTAATGTACGTTTATTTCAGATTTCTATTTTCTTTATCATTGCATTTTTACTCATTTACATATGTAAATTCACTTATATATCACAGCTATATAATTCATTTATACTATACAAAATTTATACTCTACAGCACTGTACAAATTCCAAAATTCTTGAATTAGTTAAATTTTCATACGCAAATCTTAATTGAAGAATGGAGTAATTTTGCATAGTGCGTAGCTTTTCTTTTTGATGTCTTTCCTTATTTTCGATCACATTAGCGTATTCGCTTTAGTCTTAAAGAACGATGGAAATTCAGCAATGATATTATACACTATGCAATCATGTACAAAAATAGACTTTATATCAGTGCTGCTTGACTATCAGAAAAATATGACTCCGATCTATTCTTCTTTTGAAGAAAACTTTTCTTCTGTGGATTCCGTTGTTTCAGAATTTTGCATTTTCGCATTCCTTTCCATGTCATTTCCAGAGCCTCCTCCGGCTCCAGCTCCTCCACCAGCACCGGCATTAAAGCCCATTCCGAAATTTGCCCTACCACCAACTCCTGCACCTCCTTCTCCACCTGCTCCTCCTCCAGCTCCTGCTCCACCATTTACTCCAAAGCCGAATCCCGCATTAGCTCCAGCTCCAGCTCCAGCTCCTGCTCCTCCATCCGCTCCTCCTCCTGCTCCTGCTCCACCACTTACTCCAAAGCCGAATCCTGCATTAGCTCCAGCTCCTGCTCCTCCTTGGCCTCCACCTCCTGCATTACCACCAAAACCGCCTCCGAAGCCCATTCCAGCTTTCGCTCCTCCTCCGGCACCACCCCAGTTGCCAGCTCCAGGAAATTGGCAATTGGCTTCCATAAGCATGGCTAGGAGAATTAAAAATCCAGCAAAGAGTATTGCAAAAGGAACCTGATAAAATAGAAAAATATAATAAAACAAAACTGAGTAAATATTTCCTTTGCAAGCCCAAATATTATATATAAAATATTTCAAGTGTGTGTATATCTATATAGAGATAGATAAATATTGTTACGAATTTTGTATATACGTAAATAATTTTAGTGAAATTATATGTAAAATTGTAGTATCTTTTGTATAATGTAACATGAAAATCTGAAGAGGCGAAGCTTTTCCGGAAAAATAAAATAAGAGTACAGAGACAAGTCTATTTAACTTGTAAGTTAAATGTAATTTAACTTGTAGTAAACGGCTATCTCTCTAAATTAGCGAGATGTCGCCAAGCTGGCAAAGGTTTTAGCAAATAATTATTCTCGCCAAATTCGGCGAGATTCGCCAAACTTGGCAACCATTTGGCGACATTTGGGTCCGATCTGTGTGTAACTGTAATTGGTTTTAGGATTGAGTACCCTAAATGCAACTGTAACCGTATCTAGCCCTTAAATGCAACTTGAACCGTACATGTCTTCCAGTAAGTTCCAAAAATGGAATTTACTACAAAATGCTCGGCGGACGGTAAAAACTATATAAGACCGGAAAGAGCATCTGCTCTCAGTTGTTAGCTCAGAACATACGTCAGAGCTCCGCCTTTTACATGTACTTTGCACTGCGTTGTGTTTAACGTTCTAAGTAGTTTGAAGTGTTGCCACTGGTTGTACTCTATGATGTTGTGAAACTTTTTGTCGAAAGTTCCAGAACACTCAAGTGTTTCTTTTGATAAAATAAATTTTATCAATCTATCTTTGGACCTGTGTGCATTCAATCCATTACGAATCCGTACGCACGCAATAATATGGTGTCCTTCCATCATTTAAATGCAAGGGTCCTGCAGGATCGCATCCCACGATTTCAAAAATGGCTGAATAATGAACCCTATTATTTGGTAAAATGCCTTGGATTGTTTCATGTTTTTTCTCACAGTCATGACCTTTAACCGCACAGGTACTTTTTGAATTATCCCAAGAGCTAACCATTCCTCGAAACCGTCTCCGGAAGCTTCAAAATTTCTCTCAGTTAATTTTTTATAATTAGTTCGTAAAAAACTAATAGGGAAATATATGGTCCCGATAGCTTACGAATTTTTGCTAACATCCCAAACTTGAAGCAATTTGGCGTATATTATTGTTGTTTTTTTAGCCTGATAGCTTGCAAGCTTTTGCTAACATCCCTGACTTGAAGTAATTTCGCGAATCTGAATGTCTTTGGGTTTATCTCGGATAGAAATAATTCTCGAACACTTTCTAAGGGGTAAACTGGTGTATTACTATATTTACTCCGGAAATTCCTCCCCCTATTTTTTACTAATTTTGTCGTACGAAAATAGAAAGGCAAAATTTATGCGAATAATTTGATTTCCTAAGAGATGCTCGCAGTAAGAACATAACAAATGAAAAGTATTCATGTATAAACTACCGATAACTATCACAATATTATTGATTTAAAAAAATCCAAATCGCAATAAGAATTTATAATAACATTAAAATTACAATATGTAATAAGACAGCTTCATTTCTATTTCTCTGCATCTTGAATCTCGTCCGTTTTTACTGTTGTCGAGAACCACCAGCGGCCGAGGGATAAAAGCAGCTGAACACTGGTACCTCGATCCGGGGTTCGAATACCGATGAACGGTCTGACTGCAATGGGCGTTTTCGTGTTCGTGTTTTTCCCTATATGTAACATGTATACGAGCCAGTTTCCTCTATAAAATCTTCCCTCCCTTCAGGCAGATAGCCCTTGAGAGCTTTGCCGTAATTAAATAATCCAAATTAAATAAACCTTATTGTTTTTCACAGCTACTCGCTAGGCCTCAAGCTAAAATTGCTGCTGGAACTGTGTTATCTTCTACAGCTTGCAAATACTTTGCATAACTTTTGGTTACCAAACATACAGAAGAGCATCACATTTTCCATTATTGGAAATTAAATATACAGTATGTAGGAAATGTTATATTGCACATAATGGCTCACGATAATAAAACTGTGAAATTCATTAAGCATGACCAGAGTAATTGGAAATTATGAGCAGAGTAATAGAATTGAGCAATATAAATGAAAATTTCATATTATAAATCATCATAGAAATATTCAATACACAGTTTTTCATAATACTGGTTTTTATTTACAATAATATTTTTATCATAACAAATGCAATATTTTTTCTATTTAAAACTTTTAATTTAGAAACAGGAACTTTATGGTAAACATTTGCCTTATTAACAGTGTTCCTGTATCGTTACTAAATCTATTTAAGATTAACTATGGAAGATCATATCGTTTGACATCTCTAACGATTTTGTTCTTGTTATTATATTCTCACATTATTAGCTAATTATTGAAGCTAACATATTCAAACAACTTAACGGTAGGTACTTAAAATATTTGGAAATATAGCTATTGCATATTTTTTTATTTTTCTTCCTTTAAAAAGGAAACCCTTTAAAAAGGGTACGTAGAAAAACATTAATATTTTTTTAAGTAACGAACTATCATTTTCTGCAAAACGTAATAGAAGTTTTTGAAATCGATTACTAAAACTGAAGTAAATCATGTAAAACTTTTTCTCTCAAATAATTAATAAATAGTTCTAAAAATATTTTGTTTAAATTAAGCGTCATGCTATTAACCAAGCACTGAAGCTCTAACTGTACTAAGTCGTAATAAGCATTTGTGTACTTTAATTAATGCAATTTTTATGTTAATTATTTCCTTTGACTTTTAAATTTATTTTTTTTAATCTGCGTGATTTCTCATTACCGTCTCTTCTCTCTGTGGCAGCTGGGAAATTCATTTCTTTTTAAGTAGTTAGGTTTTTTTTTTTTTTTTTTTTTTATTTGTAACGACGTTATCGAGATGCTGCTTGCCACTCTTCAAAGAAGTAAGCTCCAGGCATTTCAAAGAATTTTGAAATGACCTGAAGAGATGAAAAACGTAAGGTCTTTCAAGGGGTAAGATCTAGTAAATATGGGAAAGTGACACAAAAGATTCCAGGTAGGCTGAATAAGTCTTTATCTTGGAATTCATCGAAATGTATGGCTGAGCAGCGCTGTTGTGATGAAAGAAAACATCTCAAAGACTGGTCAGTTCTGGGCCTTTTGCTTAGATTTTTGCTTTCGAAAGTGCCATTTTGAGAACAGCATTTCTTTCAAATTTATTGTCTCGTTTGGTGGCAACAATTCTTAGTTTGCAGTTTTATCATACACAAAGTATTACAATTTTGGGATGAAACCCATTCTCAACAGTACTAAAGGAGGTTCTCCTGGCCTACCCCATGATCTTTTTCTTGTATAGTATCCACTTCTGATCACAGGTTATGAGCCATTTCATAAAAGGAGCTTCTTTACTTTTCCTCAGCAAAACTTGAACAAGCATATTTTTCTCTATTAAAGTATAGGTTACAAATACATCTTAGCAGTTGATCATTTTAAGTACTTGCAGTACTACCAGATCTTCTTAAAATGATCAAGTATTACACTTTTTGAAATATTTATACTATCTAATGGTTCCTGAACTGCATAACGCAGATTTTCAGCCATAGCTCCTTTTAATAGTTCCTTATGTATTATGGATGGTCATACAGAACGGTTATCATCTTCGAAGCTGAACTTTCCACGGTTAAACTTCTCCGCCTTCAAACTATATCATCAGAAACAGTAATTTTTCCCTTATGTAGCACAAATTTTGCAAGCAGCCTGACTCTCATTTCTTTTTTCTTTTTTAAAATAAAAAAAAAATATAGCATGATGAAATTGAACTTCTGGATTCTTCGTTCTTAACACTACATTGGAAAAATAAATTACACAACAATACGTGCAAGAATTAAGCAACATGATTTAAATATCTGCTTCGATCAAGATAACTCCTTCACAGCAGTAACAAAATAATTAGAAAATGCGCTTTGATTTGAAAAGCTGCACAACTTTCCGAATAACCCAATATAAATCATTCTGACATCTGCTAATTCACCCGCATTTATTTATAACACAAAATTGCCCTCGATTAACTTATTCGAAATAAAAAACAACTACGCGTTAAAAATGTGCATTAAAATACAGTGGTACCTCGGTATACGTCAGCTCTGAAATAAATACTACCCGATATAAGTTCTGTTTGAGAGAGAAATATATTTTTTGTGGTATGCGGTATTTGTTTTGGAAAGACTCCGATGAGTCACGACTGCCGCATTATCCTTGTTTACCTCTTTCGAGACAAAGACTGACCAAGAGCGTCAGTGCGCCTATTGCTGTTATCCCGTAAACAACCTGCGCTTGAACTCTGAATTTCACATGGTTTTGTGTTTTTTGGTTTATTCTTTTGTAAGTTAATTAACATTCAGTTTTAAGAAAGTTAATAAAAAGAGTCAAGCAACGAAGAAAAAGGATCACCATGGAAATAAAAAAAATAGATTGCTGAAAATTATGAAGACGGCATGCGTAATTGGGACTTAGTGATTGCATAGCAATTGTTGAGAACGACGGTATCTACGAATATGAGAAATAAAAATGCTATTAAATCCCTAACGTTGCGAAAAGGACGAGATTGATTACCAAAGATCAGAGACATTAGAGCGTACTGAAAAAATGCTTTTTGGGGGGATAACAGGAAATCATTTCCGTACAGTACATATTTCACTCACTGCATTTGTATTTTAATACTGAACAATGTTATAATAATAACAGCAGTTTTTTGTAAGAAAGTATTAAATATTTTTCCTTTATTTCTTATTGAAAAAGCTCTTTTGGTGTATGTCCGGAATGGTATAAATCTCAGGATCTGTAACTGATGAATGACATATACCGAAGTATCGCAGTATTTGATTGCAGTTGTACAAAATATTTGTAAGGCTAGGAAATAGCATAAATTAATTAATTCATATCCTAGATTATTCGCTATTTTATTATCTTTGATTAAATTTGTCCTTTTTATCGTTACCTTTTTGATTGAATTTAACTCTTTTATCAAGAGTTTGCAGCTTTTTTTTAGTTCAAGCAGACATTACACGAGTACTCTGGCCGCCTAACCTTAGGCACGGCTCTGCATTAAATGAAAATAAAAGGCTCTGCGCAAAATATTATCCAATTAATGTTTTCTATAGAAACCCTAAGGGGATTCAGTCGTCATATTAATTATCGCAAACTGAATAATTCAAAAATGTAAAAATTAAAATAAAGACAAAAACAAATTAATAAAAACTTACTGTGGTTTTCATGTTCAAGCTTCTATTCTCTCTGTGGTTTACCAGGATTCAGATGATATAGGAAACCCTTCAGAACTCAGTTTTATATTCCAAATTCAGAAACTTTGCGTGTGGAGCATAGAGCACTGACACGATCTCAATAAATGTTGGTGTTTGTTTATTGTCAACATTGTTTCCTTCTGTGCCATCTTTTTGGGATGGTTTCAGTTTGTGATTTCGGTGTTCATTCACTCTTTTTGCTGTGGATTTCAAAGAATTGCAATGGACAGTAGATTTCATCATGATATGTTTACATTGTTCTTTGCTTTTTAACCCCGGCTAAACAGCTGAATAAGAAAAAATAATGCATGCAAGTTTGTTGGAGTTCATAGCTAAAAGGAATGACCTCACAAAAGTTTGCATGAATGTTAAAAGCTCCATTATGTGTGCTCTTGGGCATCTGAATAGTTTAGGTCATATTTTATTCCCCTCATAAAGAAGTGTATATATATATTACTTTGCGATTAAAAATCTGAAAAAAGATAAAAATGTAATTCTGTTAATTTAAATATTAATTCAGATTATGAGGTCGGATTTTACAAAGCAGAAACGTCTTACCTTCTCATTTATATATGTATATAAAGTTTTTTATTAGTCGTTTTAAGGATTTCATATGAGTGAATGCATTTATTGAAAATTCATAAATTGCTTAAAATGTAATTTAAGTTTAATCTACTATAATTATTTATTTAATTCTTTTTGTGATATAAATTTCTGTGAGAACATTAAGCCCCATTACACCAAAAAAAAAAAGTCAGCCTGAATTATTTGTTGTGTCACTTCTCAAAAAGTTTTATTCGGTAAGCTTTTAAAATGTCACAAATGATGCAGAACAGTAATCCTGAAATAAAATGCAGTTTAACTAAAAACTTGTAGACTTTTCAAAATAAAAATTCATAATAGCTTAAATGTTAAATAAATTACTTCAGTTCCTACAGCAGGGGTACTCACCCTTTTTGTGCCTAAGAGCACATCTGTTGGATGGCGGGCACCATTTATTTTTTCAAGGTGAATTTATAGTTGGATAGAGTTAATAATACATGCACATAAAAAAAAAAAAAAAAAAAGATCGATAGCATTTCGCTTTGTGCTTGTACCTGTGTTGGACTCAATTTCTATTTCATTAAAAATGAGAAAACTTTCAAATAGATTTTATTGAAAACCAAAACACTTTTATTGTGATCGCACACATGGAGCTAACTTAATACCTCCAAGATCGCGCAGCGGCGGGCGCACGTCAAGCGGTCGGCGGGCGCCATGGTGCCCGCGGACATAAGGTTGGAAACCACTGTCCTAGAGTATTTTCCCCCTAGCTTTTTAGCACCAGTTTAATTTTAAAAATATTTGCGTAATTTTCTCCTACCTGAATATGTTATGGAATGAACTGCCGTAAATTTTTAAATGGATTTTTCGATGTGGTGATGGTTTTCTTCTTACTAGCAAAGTCAAATCCTCGCAAATTAGCTGCGAAGGTGACGCCGAACTTTCACATCCAGCTGTTGAACTTTATATCAAATTCATACAAGAGTGAAACAAACCAGAGAACAAAATCACAGTGAAACAAACCCGTCAACGATTTCACTGAGGTAAGCTGCTCTTTCACTTTCTCTTAATTATTTAAGGTTGATTTCATACCTAAGCAGCATCAGAGAGAGAGAAATAAGAGTAACAGTGGACAAGATTTCAGTTACAGGAAAGTAAAAATGAATAGTATATCTTATCAGATATTGAAATGTTAACATTACTATGTATTCCTACTGGAATGTAGATCTCTTTTAAAAAAAATAGTTTTCCGAAAATTTCATATAGTATATTAATAACTACTTTTCATTTGTTATGTTCTTACTGTAACCGCATTCTTCGGAAATTGCATTATTCACATAGTTTTCCCTTTTCGATTTTCCAACAATAAAACCAAAAATAGGGGGAATGAGAGAAAGATTACGGCATCTCGGAATGTGTGTACTGGTATTTACAATTTTATGTAATGTACACTAGAGTTATTGAAGTTATTTTCATTACCTTTGATTGCTCCATAACAAAAAGTATGCACAATTGTGCTGAGTTTTTTACTAACTCAAAATGTTTCATTAACAGATGAGAAAACTGGATTTTCGTCATATCAAATAAAATCTACTTTCAAAAATAAGGTTTTGAAATTCTTTTTAAAATATTCTTATAACTTCAAATTTTACGTTTAAATTTATTTATAAATTCTGGTGAATTGAAAACTAATTCAAGATTCATTGACAAAAATTCAATCAAAAACAATCTTTGATTATTATTTACCCCGTCATACTCTTTGTATTGAAAGATGACTGCTGAAACATGACAATAAAATTTTTTTAAGTTACTAATCTGAAAACAAAATCTTTCTTTTACGTATTGCCAAGATACGCAAATTAAATCTGGTATCTATAAAAAATTCAGTTCTTTTTTTAGTGTAAAAGGGCAGTTGCCCAGACGGACCATTAATTTCGTTTTGGCATTTTACGTTGATTCACTATAAACATTGCTTCACTTTTCAAACTGTTGCCACCAAATATTATCGTCCTGTATCATATTTCAAGAAATTAAATAAGGAAGAATCTGCATAAATGTATGTATATTTCATGCATTGTGATAAAACAACGAAACATAAAGCCATCGAATTTTGAATGACGTAGTCCTCCTACGAACATATGCATGTGGAAGACCAAATTTGAAATTTGGAATTTGTTTTATGATCGATTTCCTATTTTGTAAAACTTTAACGAAGTTTTTATTAACAAACTCAAGGATTTCAAAGCGAGCAATAGCAACACTCTACGGAGAAAAAACACCTTTTTTATCTCTAGCGCTCGGAATTGTGTATGGAAAATTTTAAAGATATGCTCATTTTAAAATTATTTTGCGACATTTCTATTGAACTGAATTTTATGGTTTAAGTGCAAAGAACATGATATTTAATCAATAAAGGTAACACAAAACGTTAAAAAAAACGCGCCTTTAAACCTAATTTAAAATCTGAAACCTTTCAGATTTTTTTTTTTTTATTTTTATTTATTTATTTATTTATTTTTATTTTTAAGTTGGATACTACTTTTTATGGCAAAGCAATTATGTCAAAATTTTAAGGGATTTAAGCGTAAATATGCTTATTTATATGAAATAAAAAGTATTCACAGTTTTAAGAAATATTTAAAACTGGCTGATGAGTTAAAAATTATGTTCCTGTTATGCAAAAACTCTTGTGGAGAGGAAGATAGGAGAAAATTAAGCGCCTATTGAGAAAATAGTTGTATCAGATAGTGTGATGAATGCACCTCCAGTAATTGTTATTCCAGGAAATATAAGAAATTTTTATTCCAGAATGTTTTTCCCTATCTGAATTAAATACGAAGTCGCAATCCTCATTTGAAAATATGCAGTAAAAAAAGGACCATGATATTGTCCAAAGAAGATTTATTTTTTAACAATTATTTCGTTCACGTGATCCCTTATCAGTTTTTAGCTTTATTTAATTCCAAAATGTTGTTCTTTCACGCGGTTTGACCATTTTCTTTGGTAATGGGAGATATTCATCAAAACAGAAAGATTTCCGATGTAAAATTCAATTAAACAAATTTACTATTATTTGGGTTTCTCCAAAAGAGTTATTTTTTAAGAAATTACAAACAAGGCCTTGACACTAATACCAAATAATTCTTGTTTTGTTCCGCTCTAATGCGCAGCGGATACGACCTTCGCTGAACTAAACAAAGAATTGCCAGTGTCCAATGCTGCTCAATACGTTACTCGATTTAGATGCAAAATTTAGTCAGCTTAAGAGCAAGCCTCTTTAACAGTTTAAATCTATTTGTGATTAGATAAATTTTCTCATTTTTAACAGGTATGTACGCGTTGAACAGTTTACATCATCCATTTTGTTGCTGTTCATTTTTTGAATCCTTACTTCGTATATCTATTTTCCTATTTCGCCGCTTTAATTAATATATTTTGCCGGATGGCTATTAATTTTGATAGATGGTATTTTATCAGGCAGTCTGTTAAAGCTGCTGGAATTGTCTTCAAAAGGAGGCATAAGGTGTATGACCATATAAATTTTCAATTTGTTTCATTAACTTTTATTATGTGTGTAAGTGGCCCTTCCGTTGCGTTGCATCTGTGAAGATATATTTGAAAGTGGATCGTTGTAGTAGCTATTTAATTCAGGTATCAAAAATTTCGAAAACATTATTCATGTAAAATAATATATCGGGACTATGATAACAATCTTTATAAGTACAGTGGTCATTTGCATAGTTTTGACAATAAGAATGAAATTCAAATGGACGTGGAATTTTTTTTCTTAAATTGGTTAATAATTCTTAAATAATTCTTAAATTGGAATTTTTTATATTGAAAATATTAGTTCTTATGGTCAGGTCCTTGAATATGAAGTGGAATCTTTATTTTGTTAGCAAGTTGACTAAATGGCCCTAGCACTGAACATTTGTTTTTGTTAGCTAGCAATGAAAACTTTCAGTCGAATGACTCCGGAATTAATACAGCATACGTAATTGGGAAATTTGACCCTTTGCTTAATAACTTTTATTTTCAGCAATTTTTATGCTCCAGGGCTGTTAGCACCAAATGAAATCCATCTTTGGAAAAGCAGTTTTATTCATATAGTTATTTTTTTTTTTTTTAGTTTTATTCATATAGAATACTGAAATTTGATACTGTGGTTCCCACACAGTTCACATACAACCCACTCAAGTTGCCGAAAAGTTCCTGAACAAGCTAACAGCTTGTTATTTGGGAATGAGATAACTCATACATTTAGAAAAGCTTTCACAAACATCGTTCAACATTTTTGTGACAAGTCACATTGTTACCGATAGGCTTTCATTTAAAAAACTGAAATAGCTCAATCTAAACGTAAACTAAGCCCAATTATCAACAGCCCTTAGTGGGCTATTGGCCTGCAGTGCCCTGATATCTGTTTTCTTGATCGTAGGCCCCAGGGTGCATGAGCATATACCTTGGACAAGTGGTCAACTTGTCGCATACCTCTTCTCCCCAGTGTTTAGTTCTCAAGCGAACTTGGTACTCATTTTACCAA